GAGAGATCTCTCCCAAGGAGGAAGAGAGAGAGAGAGAGAGATCTCCTAAGGAGGAAGTGAGAGAGAGAGATCTCTCCCAAGGAGGAAGAGAGAGACACTACAACAAAATCGGTTTTTTAGGATACTTCCAAATTCTAAATGTCCTAATATACCTCTTTATAGGACTTAGTTTGTAGGATCAAAAAAAATAAAGTGTCCTATCTAAAGGTGTTGTAATAAGTTTATATGACGTTTTTTTGATTTCGTAATAAGTCTTTTAGGACACTTTTAATATAAAGTGTCTCATTATCAACTTTATAGGACACTATTTGAAAAATTGTCCTATAAAAGCAAATGTCCTATAAAAAATTGAGTTTATAGTACATTTTCTCAAAAGTGTCTTATAAAGTTGATAATGGGACGCTTTATATTAAAAGTGTCATAAAAAACTTATTACGACATCAAAAAACGTCATATAAACTTATTACAACACATTTAGATAGGACACTTTATTTTTTGGTCATATAAACTAAGTCTTATAAAAAGATCTATTAGGACACTTAGGATTTGGGAGTGTCCTATAAAACCGATTTTGTTGTAGTGAGAGATCTCCCAAGGAGGAAGAGAGAGAGAGAGAGAGATCTCTCCCAAGGAGGGAGAGAGAGAGAGAGAGAGAGAGAGAGAGAGAGAGAGAGAGAGAGAGAGAAGGGTTTTGGACAAAAGTTTAGGGGTTTGAGGTGTGTGTGATTGTAAGAAATCAAAAGAAATGAAAATGTTAAAAAGATGATTCTTCTTCCTTTAACTTTCTTTTGATATGCATGTTTTCACATTCTTCATCTCCATGCACCCAACAACATGCATTTCTATCCTTCTTGTAAAGTTCACTTATTTCCTTAATTACCTTTCCACCCCTCTTTTAATTTCTTTAACCAAAAACTAACCCTAAGGGACCATATACTTAACACTTATCCGTTAAGCATTTATCTGTTCACTTATCTTACCAGATAAAAATGGTATGAACCCATAAATCATATCCGTTAAGAGCAATGACAAGAACATGAAGTTTTACCAGGTAAGTCAAGGTGATGACTTTTACTCGGTGAATACAATGTTGTTTTGATGGGCTATATCACTTCAACAAAATCGGGTTTATATGACATTCTCAATTTCTAAGCGTCCTAATATACCTTTTTATAAGAATTAGTTTATAGGACCAAAAAAAATAAAGCGTCATATCTAAAGGCGTTGTAATAAGTTTATATGACGTTTTTTGATGTTATAATAAGTTTTTTAGGACACTTTTAATATAAAACGTCTCATTAGCAGCTTTATAGAATACTATTTGAAAAACTGTCCTATAAAAACAAACGTCCTTTAAAAAATTGAGTTTATAGGACATTTTCTCAAAAATGTCCTATAAAGTTACTAATGCGATATTTTGTATTAAAAATGTCATAAACAACTTGTTAAGACGTCCAAAAGTGTCATATAAACTTATTACAACACCTTTAGATATGACACTTTATATTTTGTTCCTATAAATTAAGTCCTATAAAGAAGTCTATTGAGACGTTTAGAGATTGAGGGTATCCTATAAACCCAATTTTGTTGTAGTGTATATAATCTTATTCGATAAGGTATACTCCGAGTTGGTAAAAAATTTGATAATATTGTAACGATCGCTACAACACGTGTTTGTTAGGGCACATATGCGTGTCATAATAAAGTACAACTATACGACAAAAAAACCAGTGTCGTAAGGTCGTTCGTTATCCATAGCAAATTTACTGGTTAAGAAAAATATACGATTAAGAGTACTGTCACGAAATTAAATCAAGTCAGATATATACCGATCGAATCACAAAAGTCTAAAATCAAAATGTACCAAAATATTCTTATCTTTGGAAAAGTGTCACATTTTATTTCAAGAATTTATTTGTTTCAAGATCTTGGTATTTAATTCGACTTTGCAAATAGTAAAAACATGAAAACCCACGAACAATATCTACTTAAAAATATTCTTGTTTTAATAAATAAAAAAAACGTGACATTTAAAACCATATTATTCTTTTGTTTTTTTGTGTTTATTTAAATTAATAAATAAATGAATTTAGGAAGAAAAAAAAATGTTACTTCTGTTTATGAAAGTGATTTATTCAGTAAGCTTTTTAAGGGGAATTTCAGTAGAAAGTCAAGTTTTTTTTTCTTCCAAACTTGTCATTTCCAATTAAAAAACATGTTCCTTCTGTTTATGAAAAAAATTCTCCTGAACAAGTTTTTTTTTTTATTGATACAGGCATTGAATACCTTTTACCAGTTTTAATCCTGTTAACGTGTTTGTCTGTTACTAAAATCATCGATGGGTCCGATTTTTTTCGTAATCGTTTTTCGTACATTGGTTCAAAACAACATGAACATGACCAGAAACGTAAACCATCGTTAACTGAGGTTAATCAACAACGGTCATTTAATGAAGACTTTCATGAATAAAACGAGTTTTATTCTGATCTTTTAATTTAGTCACAGGACTTTGAAAATCACAAAAAAAGACCTTGATTTTTGTAACGGGTTTTATTATGACGATATGGGTTAAGGGTTGTTTATCAGGTCATTTATTTTACTGAGTATGATAAGACCAAAAATCTTACCCGGTAAGTGAAGATGTCGACTCTTATCAGCGTTTACCAACAACCTTACTATGTCATTTTCATGGCTAAAACTTTTACCCAGTAAGCAATGTTGGTGAGTCTTAAGGGGCCGCTTACTAAACGCTTACCTGGTATATGTTTACAGAGTAATTTTCCTTGTCTGATGAACATAACAATGGTCAAAAATCTTACCCGGTAAGAGCAATGATAAAGATAGAGAATCTTACCTGATAAGTGAGAGTAACGACTTTTACCCGGGTAAGTGTTTACCGGGTAAATTGTTGCATACTCTACCATTTTAATGTACTACAGTCTTACCCAGTAAAATAAATTATAGTGTTGACTCCTAACGTTAAGTGCTTACCCCGGTAAGCATTTAGGTAAACGGCCCCTTACACAACAAACGTTTACGTGGACATTTGATAAGTAGCCTTCAAGTTAGTTACGATTTAAAGAACAACAATCATGTTCCGATATATTATTCTAAGAGGCCTTTTACTAAACACTTACCCAATAAGCACTGTGGACCATTTACCTTACCAGATGAACATAACAAGAACCAAGAATCTTACCCAATAAGATCAATGATAAGGATGGAAAAATCTTACCTGATAAGTGAGTGTGACAACTCTTACCCGATAAACACTTACCAGGAAAATTGCTGCATACCATAC